GAGAAAACCAAGCCTAATTTCAGCCAGTATTGCGCACTCGTAAGCATCTCACTTACTATAGGAATTGAACTGATAATTCATCCTATCATCTTTCCTTCTTGAAAAATAAGTCAGACATTTGGATTTAACTGCAGAAATTGAGGTGAGGGTGGGGTATAGTAGAAAAATGATGCATTGTTCTAGTCAACTTTATTTGAACAGTCGGACTGGCCTGATTTACGAAAAAATGGTGAACGACAGTTATCTAGGACAATTCGTAATTAGTTTCACTATCTGATAAAAACATTACCACAAATGTATATCTGTGTAGTTTTATGCTTCAATAAAGACTTTGTTTAAGTTGCCAAAGAAATAAAATGACCGAAAAACTAACCAGTAGTAATCTCCATTCAAATATATCATTGTCTATCTTTTAGAGTTAGTTGGGGTTATAAATAATGTTTATAAAAATACATGTATAAAACGAAGATATTTGTTGATTTGCGTTTCACTAATGAAGTGAATGCCATTTGAAGTTGACAACTAATTTGAATAACAGGGGTTATTCCGTTTGTTGAATATAAGTCTTTGTAAAAAAAATATCGTCTCTTCTTAACCTCTTGCTCAGTCAATATTTTCATTCTTGAAGCCTACATGATTCGCCCAAAAATATATTAGTTAGTAAATATACTACTAAAGATTGAATTAAGTAGCTACATATCATACTGAAAATAATTCTGTTAAGAGTGGAAAATTATTCCGTTTATGAATATATAACATCACAAATGACTGTATCCATAGTTTTTACGATAAAACACAGACAAATCTTCAGTTATATGAATACAAATGATTTTGGTCTTTGTGAAAAAGCTACCGAGTTGACATATCTAATTACAGACATTAATAATCTAACTTGATGTTTTGTAGAAAATTATTAGTTTTTCGATTTGAAATGAATCATAATCACAGTACAATGGAGCTTAATTGAATACGGGATCAATTTTTATTTATTTTTACTGGGAAAATACGAAGAAATCTTCTAAAAACGGTGATAATTAGCATAAAATGAGTGTTCTGTGAAAAATTATTTTATTTACAATTTTGTATGTCCAGCTTTATAGTATAACCGCAGTGTTGAAAAACTTTTATCACAGTTTCTCTTTGGATATTAACCAGCAAGTTTAAGTATCTTGATCGTAATACTCACGGTTTAAACTTCAAACGATATGCTCCAACCAATATGGCGGAGTTCATTCCCTTTATTAATACAACTAAACTTCATTGAATGCAAACCAACGGGTTATGAACTGGAGTGTAATATTTGTTGACCATTTTTTAAACACTGACTGCATTGTCAATGTATGTTAATAACGTGTTTAGTGAAATCTATATGATCTATGTTTTAATGGGATGGCTTTGGAGTGCGGTGAAAGTGTATATCTAGTTTTAACAACAACCATTATTTGTACAAGATTCATTCTGCTCTTTCTTCTAACTATTTAACACTCTGAATGTTCACTTGAGAATAATTAACAGCATTTATCTACTTTTCATTTTAAAAAGTTGTTTCAAAATGGAAAGCGAATAAATATACTACTGAAGTCAAAACAAGTAGTTATAAGCCCCAAATTGAACTGCCAAACAATAGGTTGTAAGTTTACATATTCAAGTAACTGAATATTACATCGTGAACATCAAAGTTATCAGTACCGTTTACTTCAATGAGTATCAAATACTGAGATTCCGATTTACAAGTGTTTCGCAACTAACTGGCTTAATATTCTCCCGCAGGGACTGCTGAATAATATTATTTTAAGTTTGAATGTTTGCGTTTAGAAATTCAGAAAATTTGAACTTACAGTGCTGTTAAGACCAACTTTTCACATTTAACAGTTCGTTTAAATCTATACAGTCGAAGTTAGGATGGTTTAAAGACGAATTCTAAGTCTACGAATCCCGGCGTATATTTACCTGTGCAACAGCAATCAGAAATGGACTTCCAAGATTAGTTGATGCATCGATGTTGCTCATTGCCGAAGACTATAGGACTACAGTACTGAATGCACAACAACAAAAAATCAAAATATTCCATAGTTTATAAAAATTATAAACATAATATTTTCCAATGATACGTTGACTGAATATCCAATCTACAACGTACTAGTTCTCTGCACTTTATTATAAATGACCTATCTAAGTAATTAGTATTTCACAGTTATTATTTACGATGATTATCTGTCATTCAAAAGTTAATCATCAAAATATAGAAACATTTCAATCATTATGAATACAAACAATAATTATCTGTGTCTATGATTGAATATGATGTTACAGTGAAATAGGTATATAGTGTATAAGAATGGTAGTATAAAAGTCTTAAATGAATTGTATTTACATATTAAAAGGTAGTATAAAAATATCAAGTACGACAAAATGAATTTAATCAGTTAGTATGATATAAATAAACTTAGATGACGATATACTTACTTACTAATACATGTTATCCATCGTGGGGTAGCATAGGCTTCCCATCTGCACTCTTCATCCAACTCTGTCTTGGGAAATACTTTCCAGTTGCTATTCATGCTTTTCATGTCTGCTTCTAATTCTCGATGCAGTGTGCTCTTTGGCCTTCCTCTTCTCCGTTTCCCTTCAGGACTTCAAGTTATCACTTGCCTCATGATGCAGTTTGATGCTTTCCTCAATATGTGTCCTATCCATTTCCAACGTCTCTTCCCTATTTCTTCTTCAGGTGGAAACTAATTTGTCCTCTCCTACAGTAGTTTGTTGATGATGGTATTCGGCCAACGAATATTAGGTATCTTGCGTAAAAACTATTTATAAATTCTTGTACCTTTTTGATTATGACTGTAGTAGTTCTCCACGTTTCATCTTCGTACAGTAAGGCTGTCTCGACGTTCGTACTTAGGATTCTGACGTTGATATTGGTTGACAGTTTTTTTGAGTCCCATATATTCTTCAACTGTAGGAATGCAGCCCTTGTTTTGTCAATCCTAGCCTTTATGACTGCATCAGATCTCCCTCGTTCCGATATTTATCTCCCACATAATCTCACTGATGTTCGTATATTTGTTAATTTTATCATTTTGAGCGATTATCCAATCATTTATTCATTTCATTACCTTTACAGAACCTTTGAATCATTAATTTCCAGAATATAAATACACATCAATCTTAACCATGTTTATTCATACACTTTATATCCCTATTCTTCTTATCATTATGATTTTGTTTATACTTTGAACATCTATTTAAACTTCATAAACTAATGTATACTAAACATTTGTCAATAATTATATTTATAATTGTAATTTTAGGTTGTATGCAGCTGATGAGAAATGGCGAAATAGAATGAATTCTGAAAACCGTGTTGTTTTTTGCTTTGATCAGAAATATTTCCTCTTCTAACGAAAAGGGTTTGTAATCACAACTTATTATATCAGTAGCAAAAAACGAGTAAATCGATAATAAAATGGAAAGTAAATAAATATACTACTAAAGTCAGAACAAGTAGTTATAACCGCCGGATTGAATTACCAAACATTAGGTTGTGCCTAGTTAAAAATTAGTGGTTTTGGAAAAACGTGAGGTTCGATATTAAGCGTAATCTCTTTGAAACAGTTATCATTATTAGGCAAAAGGAGATTAGTCAGGAATTTTATGTATACGAGTCTGAAACATGGAATCCTAATTGCTTAGAAAGAATAGAAGTTAATCTTGACATTCTTTGTTTGAAAACAATTTTGAAAGATTTGTCCATTATTCATCAAGCTTTGTTTCTTATCAGGTGTAAACTTAAGGTAATCTACTTCTAAAATCTTGTAAAAATTACTCGAAATTCTGTGTAAATACTTAGTTCCACAAGTATATCTGGATCCATGAATACTACTCGAAGCATCTACAGGATGACATTGATTGACAGTTAAATATATGATAAGCCTTAAATTGCGAGAGAAAATTATTATCAAATTTGAATTCATTAAAACTTTCTATGCTAAATACTGATATTCACAATATTATTGATGGATTTGTCTAAAAGAAAACAATGAGTCCCTCAATATTTAACAGGATATAACGTAGAATAAGTCTTTCATTGATTAATTATGCTTGATAGGATCATTTAGAATTTTTTGCATAGATCTAGCAGAAAACACGTGTAAGTGTTAAAATAATACATGAATGAACTGTAATCTCTGTGCTAATGGGGTAAAAATACACACTGCATCGAATAAATATTTTTTGATTGAGATCATGAACCGATTGATGTTAGACCACTTTTGGAAACCCGGGAGCATTGGACGACCGTTTCGTCCTATTGTGGGACTCCTCAGCAGTGCGCATCCACGATCCCGCTTGCGGGATTCGAACCCAGCACCTTGGGTCTCGCGCACGAACGCCTAACCTACTGAACCACTGGGGCGGCATCCAATGGTGTTAATGTCTAACCTCAACCAATCCACGAATTTGCTGAGGAGTCGCACAATAGGACGAACCGCCCGTCCAGTGCTTCCAGGTTTTCAAAGGTGGTCTAACATCAATCGGTTCATGGTCTCAATCAAAAACTTAATAATCTATACAACCCCTATACTAGGAATAAATATTTATCATATAATTATTTAATGACTGTGTTATTTCAGTATAAATATTCTACCTGATTTACAGCTTATCATCTAATTATATTTCACCTAAATATTATAGTAATTATTAGATAGGTGAGAAATTATAGAAAAGTGTTGAATGACAGTTTACTGAAGGTGTAAACATATATATATATATATATATATATATATATATATATATATAATTTGTTCTATAATGTACATTGGACAACAGCTATATACAAATTAGTAAACAGATTAATATGGAGTGAAGTGAAAATACAGATAGAAAAGGAAACAACTTTGTAGATGTAGTTATATACCATCCGTTATATATATATATATAGGTTTATTGCTCTTCATTAAATTGCAATGAGTGATAAAGACATTTTGAAAAATGGGGTTCATATTCATACATCTTTTTAAAAAAATAATTAAGGTAACATGAAATCACAATAAAAAGAATATATTGTAAGGTATGTTTCAATATGTACATATATAAAATTTTTTTAATAAAAATAAACGTATTTCATTAAAATCACCAATCGATCGATGTTAGACCACCAGTGAAAACCTGGATGCTTTGAATGGCCGTTTCGTCTTGATAAGGAACTCCTCAGCAGTGCACATCCACGATTCCGCAGGTGGGATTCGAACCCAGGACTTTCGGTCAAACATACGGGCGCCTAATGTCTAAGTCACTGGGACGACATATGGTGATATTAATGTTTAACTTTAATCCATCCGCTATATTGAGCGACCATCTACAGTCCTGTTCAGTGGGTAACTATTTCACACTCGTAGTAGCTGAACTCCACCACGAGGTTATAATCAACGGTTCAAAATCCGACTGAAATCTATTCGTGATATATTGAAATTTAATTATTTAGATCTTAAATAATTTTTTAATTTAATTGAAATAAGGGTTATACTAAACTATTTTGTTTTATTGAAAAAAAATTAAAAATAAGAACCGATTAAGATATAGACTTCACAATTTATCATCATCCGTTTGCTATTCATCCTTTTGATGTCTGCTTCAGTGTGTTTTTGTTTATAAAAACCTGTAATCTTTTGATAATGGTCATAGTCGTTCTCCAAGATTCAGCTCCACGCAGCAGAACTGTCTTGATGTTCGTATTGGAGATTCTGATTTTGACGTTGGTTGACAGTTATTTTTGGTTCCATATGTTCCTCAATTGTACAAATGATGCTCTTGCTTTGCCAGTCCTCACCTTTACGTCTGCATCGGATCTTTATCCTTCATCGATGATACATTCCAGGTACCTAAAGGTTTTCACCTCTTCCAGGGCTTCTCCATCAAGTGTGGTTGGGTTGGTGCTCTCCGCGATGTATTTGAGGATCTTGCATTTTCCCTTGTATATGTTGAGGCCTGCATGTATATATATTAGTATTTTAATCAAGAATATTTCCAAGACATTCACGTAGTGAGCAATGATAATTATTTAATTGGTTATTTTATATTGGGACTGTTTTTTTCAGTATTATTATTACTAATACTTGTTATACAGTCTTTGTACTGTACTTTTGAAAAAACTAATTTCACATTGAGTAAAGCGTTTCTGTGTAAATTTTTATTTTATTACGTAAACTTTGGGCATTTATTCACTCATTCAGATATCAGGCGTAGGAGGGACTATAATTTATGGACGAATCAATCACCTATAAGATAACGAGTCTTGAGTTTTGGCGCAAAATTCAGTCATCCATTCGGCTAAATAATGTCTCGGCATTTAAGTTGATGTCAGTTCGTGATGAAAACACTAAATCTAATTCCTAACGATAACTATCAACTACAAATCATAATTCTAATACCTCACACTGGATTATAACGCTCGTTTAATTCTAGTTCATAAGTGAACATCCTCATGGTCATTTTAACGTGGCTCAAAGGTCGTCCATAAATTATAGGATCATCCTATTTTACACTCCCACCTACTTTAATAACTGAAAGTAATGTTCAAATTCCAAAAATGAACTTCATGCTGTAATAGCCTTCTATATGAAGTTATTCCAGGTATTTAGAACAACATATATAAGTGAAAAAAATTTTGATTTCAGATATTGGTAATGAATGAGAAAACGAACTTTTTCTAATCACTTAAAAAAAAGAGATATGATTTCCGTGAGGGTACAAAGTTGTATCTTAAGCAGAAAATAGCGTCAAAATCTGATGATTTCAACATTATCCAACTTAAAAAGTTTAATCAGTTTTTGATTATTATAGACTTTGATACAGTTGATAAGTAAATTATTTTTTAATTCAGTTGATGTATTCACGTCTATTAACGGACAATGGAATCAATCTTCAGGGTTAGCTATGAAATAATACTGGTGTGTGCTACTTATACGGACAGATATAAGTAGCATGTATCAGAAACTAGAAGTAGGATTCTTACTGACAGAAGGAATCAAACAGTAGCGATCGGGGTGGTAACAGGAATGGAAAGACGATGGAGTTTGTAAGAGGCAATTCAAGGAAAAAGTGAAAATGTTGTATCAACGTATTATTTTCATATTTTACAATTAATAGATCTTGCTCTGACGTAGTCTTCGTTCATCACAGATTAACAGTGACCATGAAACAATTGGGAACTACGACATATCGAATTATGGTTTTGTTCTGATAGGAAATTTAGTAATTGAAGTCAGAAATTGTTGACTATCAGGTTTAAGAATTGATATTTAATGGTATTTTGGTTATTATCAGAAAGGGTTTTGTGGAGATTTTAGAAATTTCACTGCTTGAAATCATGAGTCAATTGAAGCTAGAACACCATGGAAAACCTGGAAGAACTGGACGACCATTTCGTTCTAGTATGGGACTCCTCAGCAGTGCGCATCCACGATCCCGCCCTCGCCCCGAGAGATTCGAACCCAGGATTTATCAGTCTCGCGCCAGGCCCTTAACCAACTAGACCACTGAGCTGGCCGCCATCCAACAGTGTTAATGTCTAACTTCAACCAATTCACGAAGTTGCGCCACCGTACACCATTGTCTTCGGTGAGTTGATATCTCACAACAGACTTGGTTGAACTCAACTGGTAACGGCTTCTCACTAGAACTCCAGGAGTATCTCTTGAAGTCAGTCACTAGCGAGCAGATGATTATTATCAGAAAGAGTTTTGTAAAGATTTTAGAAATTATGAGTCATGATTTCAAACAGTGAAATTTTGGTTATCAATTAACTTAAAATTCCTGTTTTCTAGCCTATAAAGTATTATATATGTTTTTTGTGGTGGTTTATTTTAAACAAATCTGGCATAACAATTAAGTATCTCTTGATTTTTATTTGTTCTTAAGCTAATTATCAATCTATGAAGAATACAATGTATAAATAAATTTTTCTTTTATTCAAACATTACACAATAGTTGAATTGATTTCAAATTTACCACCATCACAACCACCACGACCACCTACAACAACAAGAACAACAACAAAGTAAAAGAATAATGAATACACCATCAGGGATAAACTATTTAAAAAATGGCAATAATTTTTTAAACTCTATTTATGGTTCAACAAATAATTCCTTCATTCATTCAGATCAAACAATAATTGATTCATATATGAAACCAAATAGTCTATCAAAATCTGTTCATCATTTTTATGATTTTCATGAATTTAATAATTCTAAAGGATATTTTAATGTTTCTAATAATTATCTATTAAATAATAATAATAATAATAATAATAATCCAATTGAACATAGAAATTCCTTAACATCCATGGTTAAAAATGTAATAATGAATGTACCAAATGATAATTTATGCCTTTTAACAACCAATGAGGATAATCAATTAAAAAATAATATTAATAAATGGGAAATTGATTGTAATTATAATTTAAAGGATTATCATAATAAAACTGATTCAATATACAATTATAAAACAACAATAACCAATGATCATAGTAAGTTATTATTGATTAATCTTATGTGGGATACAATTGAAAATCAAAGAAGAAGAAGAATAAACCGATTAAATCTTAGTATAGAAATTCTAAACAGATTGTATTCATTATCATATCAGGAATTGATTTCAGAACTTTAAGGTAATGTGATGAATACTTAAAGATTAGAATAGTTAAGGAGATATCAAATGTTCTCAGTTTGTTAAGTCAATATTTCGATTTTTATAAATATAGGAAGTTATGACATTAGGTGATTGGAAATAATCGACAGGAAATTCTGGACCCAGGTTTCCTGATAATTGATATTCTGTATTAATTTAGTTAAGCTTGTGCATGAAATCATTTGTATTATCTACATGTATTTGAGATATGATTTAAATGTACATAACTATATGTAGAACGACTTGTTACGTGTGAATAGTTAATTGGAGTTAGGAAAACAAACTGACCAACTTAATGGTATTACGATAATGAAAAGACGAGAGGCTATAAATTTCAGTTATGTGAATAGCTTATATTCCTAAGAATATATCATTACATCAACCAATTATTCAGTTATCATTGATCGCTGATAATTTTCAGACTAGTCAATTATGAATAGAAGAGCTGGATTTGATAATGGGTAACATAGTTTATTCGTTTATAATGCTTTTAGTAGTATTTTCATTCGGAGTTGAAATTCAGTTAACTAATTAAAGTCATTCCATGATGCAGACTATGAAAAGCAGCAATCACAACAAAGCCACTATTCTAGTAACAATACCGTGCTCAGTAGTGAATTTTTCGAAGGGTAATTCCTGGATTTCTAGTGAGTACTCATGATCAGTGGATTCAACCACTTCGGAAGTAAGACAGTCATTTACTACTGGCATTTGATGATGAGTGTATAATATTGTGAACTGACTGAAGTTAAAAATATAAGCAATAGAGTACCAATAAAGTGGTGTAAAAGCTAAATATTCGTTGCAATACCTGAATGTCTCGATTCCGATCCCCTATGCAACCATGTATGTGTACTGCCAAGAGGTTTCATAAGAGAAGACAATAACTGTCCGATTCTTCCTAGTTTCCAATAGCTGTCTAAATAAGGTGATTGGGTGATACAAACTTCAAGACTACCAATTGGTTAGACTATATATATACATTTACATTTAACAATAAGAAGTAATATACATTTTTGACTACTGATCATCTTTCAATAAATGATATTTTTCAGTACTAAGATAACTTGTATATCATGCTTTAATAAAAGAAAGATATTAAAAATGAATCATCATTGATAAAAAATTCTGTTACTGTTTTTGCGGTTATACTGTCACATCGATATCAATCTACTTCATGTGGTTGTTTGTTCGAGTTTTAGAAGTATAAATTCAGTGATTGATTGATTTTTTTAAAGTTTACTAGTTGTAGCTCTTTACAAAACTTTAGATAGATAATCCATTACATTAAATGTATTTGATGACATTCCTATCATATTCTACATGTGTTTATGAAGTTATTTATTTATTGGAACACACAAATATTGGTACAAAGGGGCAAAAATACCTATGCGCCACACAGTAACAACGTGGCCAGCAGTAGTCATTATTGATTTGTGTGAGGGCTGTGGTAGTGACCGGGTGCCCAAACCGAAGCAGATGGTTTCCATAGGTAGCTGCACTCAGAGCCTATTACTTAAAGGTCTAATCCACAAGGCAGTGGAGTAATGTTAGAAGATGCAGTCCCATGGTAGTCGGTGACTAACAATAGGTTTATACACCATTAGTTACCTGAAAATCCTGGAGTCCATGTGCACTATTTATTTGGAACCAGGGTTTTCCAACTCCCCTCCGTGTCCACCAATCCGTTTAAAGCACCGGATATTCACTTTTCGTACTCTCGATTTCGTAAGCAACAGCCCCACCGTGAGAAGGCAGTGAGTAGGACTTCCATGACAGTCTCTGTATACACGTAGCCATGTGAGTGCATTTGTAGAGTAAGAGTCGACTCTCCCCAGAGATTTGACCGTGCATATTTCAATAAATTTATTTCCCAGTAAAAATATACATTATAAATTTCAACCAAGGATTCAGAATCTTCGACATGGAATTAGTAAATTTACCAGTACTATAAAGATTTTGATGTTTGCTATTTGATAACGGTAACATTTAAATTAGGGATTAGAAAAACTTGTTTTAATATGTGAAAAACATCTACATAGATCATTTCCATTCAATGTTTCTTTTTAAAAGTCGGTCAATCTAGAAGAAAATCAAGGAAACCTTATTCAAGAAATCAAATAATGATATTAGAAAAAGAATATGCATTAATGCCATATGTTACTCGTCAAAGAAGGTGGGAAATTTCCAATAAATTACAATTAAGTGAAAGACAAGTGAGATTATGTTACAAAAATTATCATATATTTACATTAATTATACATTTTTGTAGTTTTATAGAATGAATTGAATAAAGCTAGAAGCACTAGTCTGTCAGGAAGCACTAGATAGCTGCTTAATCTTATTAATAGACTCTTCAGCAGTGAGTATTCAAGGATTGAACTCATGATCTTCAGCTCTTGTAGTCTGTATAGTTCATAAATTAATATCAACTAATAAACACAAGATATCATTTCTTTTGATATGTGAACAAGAAGTATTTATTACAGAACAATCTATAGTAAAATTATTTCCTTCATAGATAGTTTGTCAATTACTGACTTTTATGGTTAGTTTTATGAATGTCTTTTGTATGAAATCATCAAATTTACTTTGAAATAAAATGACAGTTGTGTATGATTTAAACACACAGAACTAAGACAACGTATACAGCGATTTAAAAAAATATTGAGATTTCAGTAGTAATCAGGTTTTGAAAAAAAATATTTATTTAGGATTCCATATCGATAGTTAAATGACAACTGGTTTAAATCTTTTCTCATTCAAGATTTTCTAAATTAACAACATTCACTAGTAGTAGCATAGGGACTGTTATTCACTGTGAGCAATAAGTGAATTTATTAAAGCAAGGAGGTTGTAATTTATTGCTAAATGTACGCGTAAATACTACAAGTATCGAACATGATTTCGATACTTGTAGACAATTGATTTGGATGGTGAAAAAAGAATCCAATTGAATGACAACGACCGATCTACAAATGTTTACATTTCTTGTGGTTAACAGATGAGCTCTCACAATCTCAATCTGACACCATGACAGTCATCAACTACATATTAAATTAAACGTTACTACTTATACAACAGAAAATACTCTAAGTTTAAAAAAAGCAACTTGATTAGCTCAATTTCATTTAGACATTTTCGACTTCTTGAGAGAACCTCAGACACAAATATTAAGTTCTCCTAATTAAAATCATGATTGTATGACAAGTTATCATAAACTGAAAACTACGGAGAAATTATTTCAATGTAATTTATCCTGAATAATATGTAAAAGTTTTGACACTGAGATTCCTCCACTGAAATATTATTCTTCCATCAGTATAATGATTATTATGATTTATTCTAAATGCTTACATGATTTCAAATAAAAGCAGATTATTTACTGATGCATAATCTAGTAGTTTTTGAAAATCAGAGAAATTCAACGACACTGAAGTTCACTTAGTAGTATATTTTTAATAAGTTTTAGTAGATGAGTTTGGCAGACTAGTTACTTTATAAGTTCCTTATAAGTTTGATTTTTAAGTCGTTTGGTTATCTCATACTGATATTAGAACACACGAAATTCATCTATATAAAGATCACTCACTAAGTTACTTAACCCTCTTACCTGTGGAGCAAAGGCCATCGACGAGGATTCTATAAACAGCTCCGTCCTAGACTCTCCATTCCAGTTGCTATTCATTCCTTTGATGTCTGCCTCGGATTCTCGGCGCAATGTGTTCTTTGGTCAAACTCTAAAATTCATAGATGCAAAACTATATCATGCAGTACATAATAGATTTAGATAGGTATATACTACATTCCGGGGGTAAATTGATACATATGAAACTACTTATGAATCAATAGCTTAATGAATTCAAATGGAATTACGTGTATACTCGATTACTAAACAATCTCCAGAGTTGTACTCTTACCATGTCTTTTTTAATAATAAAAGTTTCTGTAGCAATCTGGAAGACTCCTGGTCTTCCACATTGTGTGAACATTCCATGTACCTAAATTAATGGTTGCTCTAGTTGTTAGAAGGGGCATCAGCCTCGTGACTTCCGAAGGAACTCGATTTTCACCATCAGGTATCATAACTCTTCTAAATGAAGACCTTCTAACTCCCAGGGCAGAGTTTAAGTGGTTTGAATTATTTTTTCTGGTTACCGTTTTCTAGCGAGTTAGTTCCCTATGGGGTGTGGTCGCTAACCCCAAGTCCAACCCTCCACCTTTATCCGGACATGGGACCAGCAGTAGCTCAAGAGGGGCTCCAGGCAAAGTTCTACCCATAAAGTACAATAATCACAATTTAAAGTTTGTTTAATGGTAATTTATGTGATTTATTTTTTCTTACATATAATCAAGGTAAAAGTATGGTTTCAAAATCGTAGAATGAAAACAAAAAAATCGAAAACTCTATCATATTCCAACGATGAAAAAACTTTACAACAAAATGATGATAATAGTAAAATTAATTTTAGTGAACTACAATATTCAACATTATTTGATAAACAAAAATTTATCAAAACAACTAATCAATGGAATGATAATATTTCTACAAATTCTGTTACATCATGTATCCTTGATTATGATTCTTTTGTTAATATGACTTAAAAATATAATTGAATTTAACAACAACAACGACAACAAAATCACCTTCAAAATTATTATTGTTCCTGATGGTGATTATGATAAACACACCAAGATCATCATGTTGATCAATGTTGAAATCAGTGACTATTAACAAACTAAAAAAAATAGTTCAATAAACCACTGAACATTTAAGTCAAAAAATTATTCAACTTTAAAACTTCAATTTATTTTTTTACATTCTTGTAACTACGTAATAAATAACAAAATACTTTAGTCTCTTGATACAATACAACAATGAAAACACGAATAGATTATAAAATTGTACACCATTGTTCATTATTTGTAATGATAATAGTAGTTTAAAAGAAAACATAACAAGAATGAAAATTTTCCATGGAAATTCAAAGTGGTATCATTAAAGTGAAGTCACTATGTCTGTTCAGCTATTGGAGTTCAAATTACTCGTCTATTGTAATGTAAAAGAAAATATCTGAGATCCATAGCAATTCATTACTGACCAAATATTTCAGATGATGAATTCTCTAAATATATAATAACAATAATAATATTATTATTATGAACCACTTGATAGTATTGCTTGTGTACTAAACAGTTCTCAATTTCTAAGTGAGAAACAATATTGCTTTATACTTATTTTTTTGAATAATAAATATGATGTAAACATATTGAATAATAATGACAATTATCGTAATGTATAATTTGAATAAATTAGTGATTTGTATTACTCTCATTCTCTCTCCATCATCATTCTACTGATCTAAAAATAAACTTATAAGGATATTTACAAGAAAACACTCGGTTAAAACAATATCGTATGGTTATATATTGATGTTAATGAAGAACTAAGAAAAAGGGTTATTCAATATGATAGAAAAAAAGAACTCGATCATTTGGATAAGACCCAATAGAAGTTAAAAAGTGACACTAAATTCAACGGAATAATATGTGTTATTGATAAGTGGTTTACTAGAAATTAATTTCATCGATACTTGTGATGAGATACAGTTCAAAATCTTGATTTCGGTTGTGCCATTTCAAAATTTATTAAATGTTTGCGGATAATGTCGATTCGCAATTTTTTTTAGGTGTCCTGAATACTTTAGACACTCAAGAAAACTGCTTTGCCATGGAGTCTACTTCTGTTTGTTACACAATAACTCCAATCTTAACATTTGTTTATCAGAGCACATCAGATCATTTGGCTTATCTAATACTATAACAAGTATGTCTTTGTTAATCTAGGCACTAAATTTGTACATGGTGAATAACAAGCCTTGTACAGTCCCCACCTGTTTAGATCAGATTATCTGTATTAAACAGATAGTTCATTTACTTTCTTTAATTTCACCGTTTATTGAAAAGAATCAGTTATTACATATATGAATCCCATTGGTTTTATTTAAAGAATTTTTACAACACCAAACATTCCGCAATTAGGATTCCACTACATAGTTCGTGATTGGCTAACGTATTAACGATAACATATTGAATATTAAGTTTTTAAAAATCTGGACGTTATTCTTAAGAAAGTATTTTGAGTATATCCTGTATACAATTTTTACCGTATATAACAATTAACTTAGAACATAAATGAGTTATTCGACAGAAAGTGACGGATAAACCCCTTCACATTTGCAATAAAGTCAGATACACTGAACAATGGAAGAGATTTAATAACTCAAAATGCCTTGTTCAACCTTAAACACGAAGTTCGACAAAGCTATACAGCTCACTTCTGTTTTCATCATCTTTTCACATCATGAAATATGTTCGTATTTTCAAGTGCCATCATAACTATTTATTGATAGTATTAATACATGAAAGTTGACTCATCTTGAACGGATTAATATCTAAACGATTCAAAAATTAGTGAAGTGCCAAATCATGAATACTGGGAAATTCACTAATACCCTCACTATTATGTGAAAACAATTAATTAATCAATATGCAAACTAATCGGGTATTATAATTTATGAACGTTAAGAAAAATAATTCATGATAATCCTATTTATCTTGAACCTATGATCAAAGTATGTAGACGTGAACAATTCCCATCGAAGGGTTCACTTTACTTAGTTGAAAAAAGCTTTCAATAATTATATATTTTGACCAATATCTGATAACGTCTTATGTACTATGTTGCACCATCTCCATAACTCCAAACAGAAGCCAGTCATGTATAACTTCCTTTTATACCACGACATGCGCTGACCACCTCTCCGTTTTCCCCAACTATTCCCGGCGTTGATAAGTAAGGCACGATGTGGAATTAGCTGAGACGACATTCGTAGTATATAACCAACCACCAAAGCCGGCATTTCAAAATGTTGACACCAATCGAATTATTGTCAGTGCTCGAACATACATTGCCAAACTTCTGCATAATAACCTGGTGTTGCCACTGTCAGCGATCCTTCAAAGACAACGATAATCAAACACAGAGTCGTTCACCACTCTCAACTCGGAGGTCAGTTTTCATAAGGTTAGAGCAAAACTGCTCTAACCGACGCATTGTAAATCTGACCTTTTACAGCCAGGGTAACATCATAAAGGCGTCAAGGATGAACCAGATTGGCATAGGTAGCTCTGGTTTTCGTTGTAAATTCACCTCTTCAACACCATCACCAGGACTTAAATACCTATCCAAATAAATGAACTCGACTACTCCTAACTGCTCACTAGCAAGAATGAATGCAAACACAACCTCCTACTAACCTTGTAAAAGTACTTTGGATGTAGGTGTAAAGCACACGCTATAGCTTTGAACACTAGCTGCTAAATGAACATGTGCGTATTGTATAGCTTGAATATGGTCTGGAGTGATTATTATATAAACCTTAGACAGTTACTTATCTCAGATCAAGAAATCACAATAAGGTTTGATCCAATCTTCAAGTGGAATTGGGCAAACACTTAGTCCACCCACTAAAACAAGACAGAAAGTCGATAAGTAATTACTGAATCATTCGATTACATTTACTAACAAAGTGCACAACACCCTATTTCATTATGTATATTTATTATTGATTAGTTCTTCAGAGAAAATTCGGCAAGTTATTTACACCTGACTACCAGTATATGCCAGAAATATCTTGAAAACAGTATCATTAGATACCGATGCATTAAGATTTAATTGATTGTTGGTTTCATTATTCTGGTTTGCTTATAATCACACAAAATTTAATAAAGCGTACGTTACACTAAATTTCCAACTTGCAACACCATTATCCGTTGAGACAACCAATGTATTGTACGCTATTTGAAAATAATAAACTCATAGATATAAGATAAATTTACTCAACACAATAATATGAAGTTGTAAAATAAGCTATGTACGTATGATTCCTCTATCAGATATAAACATTCTTTACATGATCTCAACGTTTTAAGGATAACGGTAGCAGTACATAACGCAGTTGACCACATTTAGCTTGAAACCTTCGTGCTCACCAATTGCAGAGCAGAAAAAGACCTACTAGAGCGTTGTTTACTTTACGTTTTATAACCAACAATTATTTCTAACTATGCTTTACGGATCCGTTCGCACTATTTAAATGAACGAATTTTTCAACTTGTTCCAATACGTCCAAGAACACTGTATGAGTAAATTATATCAATCATGAAAAACTACTTTTCAAGATGTAAAAAATTTGATTATAAATTATAATGTCAGTTTAAATTAGGATTATTATCATGAAAATTGCAACAACAAAAAATACAAAATATTTCTTTAAACATTAGCCAAGGTAATCTAGTAAAGAGATGAATGATCTGATGCTATTGAAAAATTTCAATAATTTGTATTTAAGTTTCCATTCTTTTATCCATTGGATTATTTTCTGTTTTTCAATTTCTCTTGCTTTAATCACACTTTGAGGATCAGCCGGGTTAGGAGTTCTCAAATCTAAATGATGAGCAGCATCAGAGATATTAATGACTGTAGCGAATGGGACATAACTATTATTTGTAATTGATAATGCTGACCATGGATCAATTTCACCATTGCTAGAAATAAAATAAGAAGAAACATATCCATTAATTTATTAAAGAATTTAAATATTCTATCGTAAACAAATAGACTACTTAATTGAAGCGGAATACAAAAATATTGACATAGTTTTTAACAGTAAGAAAATAGTACATTCAACTTCAAACTGAACGTAGAAAATGTACGTTATGAGGCGTAAAACTTATTAATGAAAAGCTATGATGATGAGGCTCATCAAACTGATTTACGTACATTAGGCTTAAGACAATAAAGGAAGAAGTTTTGAATCAAGTGTCTAGACTAGTGAGATAGTCTTACAATGCAGAAATAAAGTTTTAAGGAGTACACAGAGAATTGACACAGTAATTTAGGCAATTCATCTTCAATAATCTAAACATGGAGTAATGTTTACGTGACACTGTCATATATTCGCGTGCGAAATAGCCAGTTATTACTATCATGTATTGAAAAAAATAGACATACGAACCGCAACCTAGATAATGCAATTACCAAACACATTTTCAAACGATTGCTGACAATAAATAATAACTTACTATGTTGGAAATGTCTTTTTAAGGTAAACAAAAACTTTGGCAGGTTGGAACGGTTAGATGACTGAAAGACAACTACTGACAAAAGATATTAAATTACATGTGAACAACATAAAAACATTGTCTCATGTGTTGAATTAAAGAAATCGTACATACCTGCATACGTATACATAGAAAGATCTATATATTTTTAACATATTTTTAAGCTAACAACACTGAATTGCTGACTGACCGTTTAAGAATTCCAATATTATTAGTCAACTGAGTCTGAACCAAGTAACGTGATAGCAACAAATTTAAATTTTACTTCAATATGACTTGATGTACAAATTTTAATAACAGGTCCATTGGTCTAGGTAAATTTCTAGATTAAATACTGAGATTACTAAATGTATGCCCGGTAAGACTGGATAAAGACATCAACATTATAAGAAACACGTTTGTTGGTGAGTGTTGATGTGAAGCAATCACGAAGCACAGGTTTATGGACTCGACTTTAGCTTATATATTTTGACGAGGGCTAGTGAAGTTAGTGTCTTGCTGAAATGGAAATACCTGGAATACGTTCCAAACTTTTAACCTGGTAGTTTAAATTTAGATGCTTTGTTTATTATAATTAAATTGCTGATCTAATCTTTGCTGTTGTGAAAGTTCCTTCATTTCGTTCCCATGTAAGCGTCATGACTCCAGATAATTCAAATGTTATACCAAATGTTCACTTACAGACAGGTTTTACATGTAAAATTGTTACTAAAAGATTATTTCTGGTTCTATATAAAAAAAGTTAATCTTTAGAAAAAATAACAAAGACGTTTTGTTTGTTACCTGAAAATTATGTTGGTAATAGTATGTACTGATTTACTCCAAAATTCAACTTTTGGCCATTCAACGCGTGGACTTACACCAAATCGATTTTGACAAGAGATTGAGAAAGACTTAAGATCCCAATTTAATGGAGGCATGATGTTTACCGGCCCTGATGCACACATAGGTGTTGTCATCTCCATGCAAGTCTACAAGATAAGATAATAATGCTCATTATAATCTTAGATTTAAAAAATATTATTTCGACAAGAATAGCATTTACAGAAGATTGACCGTCAGCTATAAATAACGTTGGAAATAACACAGATGAGTAACAACCCACTTCACATTATTAAATCCAGAGAGGGGGTTAACAAGGTCAGAAGGGGAGAGAAAATAATATTATTCACTAAAACGGAAGCATGAAAAATATAGTTAAAAGTGAATTCAATTGAGGTATAGATGAGACTATATCACTAAGTCAGATCCTGTGCCATATGAACACTTACAACTTTTGTTTCAGTATTGGACATCCAGGTAAGCTGTGCGTAATTATATATGACACATGTTTCAACCAATTGAGTTGATGAAGGTTTATACAGTGAATTTCATCAAAACAACATAAGTAGAATGTTTGAGGACAGTCAAGTCAATCTTTCCATTGTGGTATCTAACATTTTTTAATATCCAAACACTGCATACCCATTTAACATTGCTTTGTGCTTTCACTTCAAGTGAAAGACTAGTATTAAAACCTCCTACGTACTTTTTAAACATTACTTATATTTTTAGTATTAAATCATAAACTTTGAGAGAAGTGGAGAACACAACGCTTTTTACTATATCCTGACAAAGACGAAAAGAAAATTAGAAATGTGGAAGTCGAATAATTGAACTTAACTGGATTGTGTAATGTAATTTGTAGAACCTTTGGATAGACAAATGTTTTATGACAATGTTATGTAGCCCTTACTGTAAGCTTTCTTGTGATTTTTTCGATGTTAATTAGATTCATTGTTATACAAAAGTAACTTATTTAACTATTAATATGCGAAAAAGCTAAGTTGTATCTTTCTTACAATTTATTCTGTATATAGTGGAGTTGATTGATTAGATTAGAAAATTATAGGTATAACTAACTGTTAATATACGTACTATGAAATCCAAGTACTTTTGACAAGGAGGATTTAAACAATATAGACTGAATAATTCTCATGCCATGACTATCTTGACTAACTTATTACAGTAAATCTTATCGCTTTATATTCACCTTTTGTTATTGTATTCGGTCGAAATAGTATAACTATTGCATTAATCGTGCATTCAAATATACTTTTTTTCCTAAATAAAATAATAAATCAAAGTTCAATGTAGGCAGAGTAATCACGTTTTTTTAAATGAATCCTAATCTATAGATAACCATATTCAATGAACTATGATTTCAGATAGAATTCAAAGGTAACGACTATCAACATTTATTGTAAGATATAATTATTCTCGTGATTATATACTTATTTAATAATATTCAGTATTTGATTTTAATCTGATAAGTTATCGAGTTTTACAAATTCTTGATACGGTAATAAAGTTGAAATTGTTTTATTAGTTCATTTCAAATAAATTAAAATATGGAATAGATCAATTATGGGTTAACAGGAGTGTGAACTCAGTATCCAATTAAAAGTGATTTGACTTTAATAGATTCTAACCAAAATAATATTGACCAACCAATTCTCTATTCTTAACGCTTCTATTGGTAATCAACATTCTAGTAATCATGAGATTTTTAAAAATGAACGAAATGTTTACTGTAGTCAATCTCTCTATATTTTAATGTTAAATAAGGCTTGGATACTGATTAACGCTGAAGAAACATTTCATAAAAAAGATAAATGTACTCCTTATGTGAGTTTTTCGATTATCACTGAGCTATTACTAATTGGAAAGTTAACATATGAGTAATCATTAAAAAGTAATTAGATAAGATGTAACACTCGCCCCCAAATGCCCTGGTACGGCCGAGAGTGGGGAGAGTTCGCTCTCCCTCTCGAAATGCTCTCACACGGCCACGCGTGTATAGCCTCTGCCAGGGAAGTCCTACTCATTGCCTTCTCGTGGCGGGGGTGTTGTTTACTAAAATGAGAGGACAAAAAGCGAATGTCCGGCGCTTTAACCGGATTCCAAACCAATGGTGCACATGGGCTCCAGTATCCTGAGGGAACAAATGGCGTATGAACCAATTGTTGGTCACCGGCTTCCATGGGATTGCATCTCCTTACGATGCTCCACTGCCTTGTGGATCAGACCTTCATGTCGAAGGCTCGGGGAGTGGCCCCCTGAGAAAACCACCTGCTTCGGTTTGGGCACCCGGGCAGTATCGCAGCCCTCACACATATCGAATGAGATTTGTGTGGCGCATATGTATTTGGTGCCTGATTGTAACAATATCTATGTGTTAAAATAAATAAACACTCTCACACGCGAAAATGAAGTATCCTGCATTAAAACAAAGTAAATATCAATCGGACTAACTTGTAAATCCCATCCAGTAGTGTCCAGACTTGGCGAACTCGTTGAAATGTCTAAACACGTTTGATTCCCAGTATAATTTGTCAGTGATAGTATAGCCTTGGCTAATAAAGATATTCTGGTTACCACAGGTTGTTGAGGGTCGTATGCAGATAAATTGGTACACAAATACTGGATTAATGAGGGAAACCCAAGTGAAAAATCTGTTACCAGTGGGAAACGTGGTCATTAAGAGTAGAAGATACGCGTAAGTTTTTAGTATTTGACTACAGACCCCTTAGAAAGGTTCTGATAATGAAAAAAATCAAGTAATAAACTTCAACGTTATATTAGTAGGCCTATTCTTTATGGATTCGCTCAAGTTCTAGTTTGTCGGTATCTATCAGAGGAGAATACGAAGAAACAACATTACTGAAATTCTAGTCAATTAAAAACGTTTTATAAGTAATTAGTGCTTTGGAAATAAACAGTATGACTGAAAACTCAAACAGCTATAGTGAATCATGTTTAACTACGCAGTAAGTATACCTGATTTTTTAAAATTTGTTATTCGAATAATAAAATTATTGTGAAGAATACATCTTATCCGTTAATAATCCTAAAACAAGATAGTACTTTACTTGAGGTCAATTTATGCACACTTGACCATGTAATATAAACTGCTCCAAAATACAATGTGCCATCAGGGCTAAAACTTTAAAACCATGAGATATTGTTTTTTGAACTATTAAAATTTTTTCGTACGATAATTAACAGTAACGGGTTAGATTTTTACGAGGAAATAGATTCTATGTAGTCTTTTAAATTTTATTTCAGAATGACATACAATAGCGGGTTAAAATTATATGCATCTTTTATGGCTTAAATTAGGTTATAACAAAGTGCATAACATAAAATTTTAATTACAACCGATTTTGTTGATCAAATCACTATTCAACTCTGAAGAAAGTCACAGAGAGATGCTATAAGTGTATTTTGATTATATCTTGTACTGACTTTATTACGAAAATTTAATTCACCTTAGCCCCAAATTAACTATCGTAGTATATTTTATGATTTATAACACAAAAAGTTCGGTACATTACACAAAGACGCTAAGAAACATACGATATGAAACAAAATGAAAATATCGTGAACAAATATGAAAGAGGAGATAACACAAATAATCGATATGGAAATAATAGAGTTCAACCAACAGTATAACCAGGATAAATCCCGTATAGTTTGAGTGTCGATAGACATGTATGACACACAATAAATATACCACAAACCTTGACTGGCCATTCAGGTAAAGCAAGCAGAAAGTTGGCTGGGTAAGGATAATTGACCATAGATATCGTTCCCAAAAAATCGGATAAGTAGTCTATGATATTCTGAACATCAGTTAAAGGCGTACAGATGTTAAACATGTGGGTTAATAATTCTTTCCCATCAACTAATAAAAACAAAATAATTGTGAACAGAGAAAAAGAGATTGCTATAGAAACATGTATTTTTAATAAAACTATTAGTCAAATGAAGATACAAAATGAGTTTATTTAATCAACAGAATATCAAAGAGTTGAGACGAGTCCATAAAATCAGCGGCTATCTGTAATCAGTAGCTAAGTGGATAACGCAATGGTGATTGAAGCGAGAGGTACTGGGTTTGAGTCACGGAATGAACATCAACTCTGGGATGTAGATATATCCAGCTGGCTAGTCCCGAATAGCACGAAGTGTGCATCCTAGTTTTCATTGCTAGCCACTATCCATCTTAGCCTAAAATGTATCTAATATAGTTTAGCATGAAATGTTAACCAGTTTTTTTATACTCCAAATACATATGGCAAACTAGAAGTGGAATGATAACGCATAAGCGAACATAAGTATTGTGTTACAAGAAGGAAGCACATATGTAGAAAACACTCACTGATTTAATTTAAAAACTGATTATTACTTACTTTTTCTTCTAATTTCGTTGGTACTAGTGTGGTGCGTGCTACTTATATTGATATAAGTAGTATATGACGCGAGTTAAAACGGAATGTCTGGCAGCAGAAGATGAGTAGAAGATCAAGAAAGGAAAAGCGAGAACACAATGGAATTTGTAAGAAAACGCGTGAACAACGGAATGGGAGACAATGGATTGGTGTTTGCAACAGAAACAGTCCAGTTTGATATGATGCATTGATATTTTGCAAATTGACGATTTAATATATGGTATTCAGATTTTATTGAGATAGTCTGTAATTTTTGTGCTAAATACATCCGATTGTCCCCACCAGTGTTCTTGTTCACTACACTAGTTACCATAAGAATACTCGCAATAATATTGTCTTTCCAACTAGCCAGATGACGCTTTAAACGAACCCATTTACCAACAGTAGCGCGTTACTCAGTCTTAAGCTAAAAAGAGAGGGCATCAACAAAGTCTAGAAACTTAAGTTCATTTACTATTGAAATACAACCAGTCATGTGCAATGGAGAACCTAGCAAATATGTGTATCGGTTGAAGTTTTCACACCATATTTGTGCAACGAGATAAAATTATAAAGACAAATCTCATAGTAGTAAAAGTAGTAACACCAGTAGTAATAGAAAGAATTGGGTATAGAAAGAGAATAAAAGTACAGAGTGATTTCAAGACTCAGAATCTAAGATGAGATAAAAACTGGATGCATTTGGGCTATTGTGAACGATTCTGAGTCAGGTCACCCAACGTCTACAATAACTGATCGTGAATGCCGCATGAACCCCAACCAGGTAGTCTGAAGCTGTCCACATAGCTCGGACTAACAGTTAATAAATTCATGGACTAATACCATGTCTTGATGCGGCCACCCCTGTGACCTTCCCGTCTACTTCAACACCAAAAACCATCCCATGTCGAGGCAGGGAATGGTTAAGCATAAGTGATAAATGTTCCAACTTCCTCAATCAATGAAGATTCACTACCTCACCAAAAGACTTGAATTCACCTGGTATCCCGTGTCTGACCCTATCACTTCTCACTCAATGGTCCAGAAATACATGAACAATGCTCTGAAGACACAAATGATTGAATACGAGTAACCCACTATTATCCTCTGTTCTTAATGATCGTTTTACACATTGAACAGAACAGAGCGAGTTGCTGCTCAGCAAACTTGTCCTTTGGATGGTAGATGGATGAAGGATATTTTATTTATTCAGATAAATCCTGGTACAATAAGAGCCACAAAAGAATGTGCGAAGTAAATGAATCAATGAAATTGTGGAAAAATAGGAGACAATGGTAACAATCAGTGAAAATAAACAAAGTATTTAGTAGAAAATACAGTTCAGTTAAAGATACAACACAGAAAGACTTAAGGAGGATTATATCAGTATTATTGTGTGGAACAGGAAAGTACAACGGGATAACCACTAGTTTCCATTCTAAGCGATATGTCATAACATCTCAATCCACCGAGTTGAAATATTTCAAGGACTCTAACCAGGGAATAGTACACCGAATAATATGAAACGGTCGAAAATGGATAGTCCTCTATTTGACTCTCAACACGTAATCAAATGGCCATGTTAATAGCCTCTTTCGGGGAATTTTCACTCATTAGCTTCACGTGGCGAATCTGTTTATACGAGAAAGTGACAAAGAACAAACGTCCGTCTTTGAAACCAAGTCGGTGGATTCGGAGGGTCCACCTAAAGGATTTGGATAATCCCGACTCCAAACGAATAGTGTACATGGGCTCCAGAATCCTGAAGCGACGAGTGGCGCATGAACTTATTTCGGTCACTGGCTATCATGAAAAAATATTTCTTGATAGTACTCAACTGGCTTGTAGACTGTACATTAAAACCAAATGGTTGAGAAGTAGCACCCTAACGAAAGCACCTACTTCGGTTTGGATACTCTGGACAGTGTACCAGTCAGTCAGTCAGTCAGTAACAACGTAGAACTTCGTACGTACGTACGTACATCAGTTCGAGTTGCCACACCACATTAGCACAGAGATGCAGTGGTCGATTCAAATCCCGCAGTGGTAGAGGTAGTAAGAGTATAAGCAGTAATCAGGAAGATTAGGGTTTGGAGATGTTATTTAAAGAGTATAATCCAGTGAAATAAATTTGGAAAGAGGAAAAAAGGGACATAAAGAATTCAGAAGATTAGAATTTGGGAGAACACAAAGAGTGGATGCACCTGCGCCATTGCAAATGATTTTGAGCCTTGTCATTTAAGATCTCTAACCATCGGTTGCTATCATCTCGTGGTCCCCAACCAGGTAGTCTACACCTACCAACATGACTCAGTCCACTTGTCAGTGACTTCATGGATTTGTGCCATGTTTTGGTTTGGCCGCCCCTAGCTTTCTTCCAACCTACTCCTATACCATTGAACATAGCACGTCGAGGTAGTCGGTCGTTGGGCATACGTAACACGTGTCCCAGCCATCTCAACTACCATTGTGGGGCGTCTGAATGTGTGTCTGTGTTCTAGAACCTGACGTAGTGTGAATATCTGATCTATACAACCACGTCCAGGTCGAAAACCGGCCTGGTTTTCTCTAATATGCTCTTCACGAGCTTTGATTAGGCGTCGAAGTATTATTGAAGCTAATATTTTAGACACTATATTAGTCAAACTGATTCCTCTGTGATTGTCACAAGAGGACTTTTTGTCCTTTCTTATAGACTGGCGCAATCAGTGATTGAGACAAGTCAGATGGGATTACGTCCAGTCCCCAAATTCTACATAAGACCTCGGTTAATCTCACTGCTAATACTGAACCACCATCCTTAAAAATCTCAGGAGTAAACCTGTCAGGGCCTGGTGCTCTCCCTCGTTTCAGATTTCCTATGGCTGTTTCAACTTCGTAAAGGGACGGAGGACCTACATTAACTTTCCATTCAGGTTGACTAGAGATCGTGGGAAACCGAAGTGTGGCTGAAGGCCAGTTGAACTGATCCCTAAAGTGTTCTGCCCATCGATCCAATCTCCTGGATTGTGAATGAATAATATGTCCATCTTTCTCTGAGATTGTTTCGCTAACGGTCGGGTTCCTAATACCGGTTTCCTTAACGAGTCTGAACAATTGTCTGCTATTACCTATTGCCGCTGCCTTTTCCATCTCTCTTGCTTTCGCTACCCACCACTGTTCGCGATCATTGCGTAGACTTCTTGTCAGCTTGCGCTTAAGCTGACTCCGCTCTTCATTATGTTCAGAGCCAGGTGGAATGAGTTTCCGAGCATCTATCAGTGCGATAGATGCTGCTGAGATCCAGTGTTGCTCCCTAACCTTCTGGTTTACCTTACTAGCAAATATCACTGCTGTTTCCGGCAGCTTTTCGGATATCATCCCATGCTGCATCGGGGTGGGCATCACATACATGGCTGCCTAACTGTTTTCCTAGTTGTTCCTGGAATATACTCTTAGCTTGACTATCATTAAGTAGGACCCTAAGAGGTTTCCTTGCAGCGTCTTTCTTACGTCCAGTAAGACGCAAGCAAATACGCGCTCGCACTAGAGCATGATCTGAATCTAGGCATGTGCTCCAGAATGAGCGACAGTCTTCTATCGAGCCCCTCCATCGGTGGCTGATAGCGATGTGATCTATTTGGGTCCAACGTTGGGACGAATTAGGGGGTCGCCATGTTAAAAGATGTTTTTCCTTATGCTTAAAGTTAGTATTTGCAAGGAACAGGCGGTTATCTGAGCATAGCTGCAACAGACGGTCGCCATTATCTGTTCTTTGAGCCACGACACCATAAGATCCACCTAGGTGTCTTTCCCTATCGCTTAGTTTACCTACTTGAGCATTAAAGTCACCAGCCACTATTACTACATCCGAGCGCTTAGCTTTTCGGAGAAGGTCCGAAAGCTTCCTGTAAAACTCATCTTTTACATCATCTGAGCTGCAGTCAGTGGGAGAATAGGCAGAGACGACGAAGAGGCAACGACGAGTGTCCCTATCTTTCCGGATTCTTACTGTTCCGTTCAGTCGGACAGCGCACAAACGACTGTCTACTGGGATCCACTCTAAGAGAGCTAGTTCTGCCCTAGGACTCAATGCTATACCTACGCCGGCGAGGCCACGGGAAGCAGAATCAGGGCTTCCAGATACACGAAGCGTAAATCGAGTCGGTTCTTTATTTTGGCATGGTGAGGTCAAATGAATGACGCTATTTGGATCCTGTATGCGCGTTTCGGAGACGCAGTACACATCGATGGCGCGAGATTCTAAAGTCCTAGCTAAGGAAGCCTGCTGTCCTATTTGGCACAGTGTTCGTACGTTAAAAGCTCCTACATGTAGTTTAGAGCGTGGTTTCAGGAGACCAGGAATAGCGTTCCACGTACTCGAATCGTTTGCCCTAGCGGTGCGAGGTGATAAAGAGACGTGAGGAGGGTTAGTCATGGAGATAAGAGAGGTATTAGGAGGTGTAGGAAGGATTTGAATGTTACCAACTTGGTCTCGTGTGTTGTTACGGATATGAGGGCTGATGTCACTTCCCGGCTGCCCATACCGTGGAAGGGTATTTCTTGAAGAACCTGAAAAGGAAATTGGATTAGTGTTGGTCTTAACGACCTGGGAGCGTGACCGTAGAGCCCAAGGGACAACTGCTTGAGGCCGGTCGCGCACGGCCTTTTTGTGGAAGGTTTTTGACGTGTTAGCTCCGTTCTTCAAAGAGCCTTACCGCCGGAGACGGAAATCCGTGAGGTAAGGTGAGGTGTGACATTTTTAGGGTCGACCTTTTCTAACCCCACCCCTCCTTGTGGGAAGGCAGCATCGCTGTCATGCTGGTTGTCCGAGGGAAACACCTTACTGTTGTCACACCTCTCTACAATCAGCAGTACGACTTCGCCTTCGGACCTTGGGTTTGTTGCTTATAGTCTTACCGCTCTTCAACCGACCTGTCTGACATGGTAGGACCTCGAGGAACGGTTGTTCCAGCCAGTATAGCTCGGTTGCTTCATCACGATAGGCAAGCCCGACCACCAAGTCAAGGTAGCAACAACGGTCGGGGGACAGTGTACCAGTACACACACAAATATCTTGATGAATAATTATGAAGGAACTGTTCTGTTTGCTCTACTTAGTAACCTACGTGAACGGTACGAACATAATGAGTAGAAACAAAGTCCTAATGGCAACTATCCCGGAAAATTAATGAGTCTCAATTGTTTTGCAGTATGCGTTATGCAGTGATTAAAGAATAAATCTGTACCAAAATTTCACTTTCAGTTTTATTCGCAGCGCATGATCCCTAGGAAACCTGTTGTTTTCAACAATCGATGAGGTTAGAGATTCGTTTGTTATCACACACAAACATACTTTAATATCATGAAAGTATAAAGTAGTATTTGCCAGATAACATTTTCAGAGACTACTTCTGTAATAGCAGCTAATGTGATGAAAACACTTCAAACAGTGTTTTCGCATAACATGACCTGAAAATTGTGTAGCAAAAAAACGGAAACGAACGATTTCCATTTAAAATATAACGTATCAACCGGGTGTATGTAACAGTAATGTAGTTTTAGGATAAGGGATCAATAAACGTGTTTCAATCACAATATATGTTACATATACATTAAATGTATATTTAATCATAGTAACTGAAAAATGTCCAGTAAACAAAGATCATATAAATAAAGATAAATATTAAATGGACGAAAAGGTTAATATAAGTCAGAATTTTAGAAGGCTTAATAACGATTTAATAAATGTCAGTTCACCTAGATAATTAGGGAAATATAGACAGCTATAGCCATGAATTTTCCAGAACTACCAAAAAAATGAATTAACGCTTTTTAAACAACCTGAAGGGAAGATTGAAACAAGCCCACTAGCTCTTATCGAAACTGAAAAGGAAACTATTAATTTGGATCGATGAGCAGCGGGACCGTGTAAGCCAACTCTAGAGGTCTTTGAGTATAATAACAATCCAGTTTTAACAGTTAAGTTGATCAAGGTATTAGCTGAAGTCTGGAAACTGGACATATGACCATTTGACTAGCCTCGATCTCTGCTCGTCCTACTCTACAAAAGTATAGAAATCTCATGACAACCACAAAGGAATCAGTCTAACAAATGTAGTGTCTAAAATAATGACCTCCACAGTTGTTCGACATCTGGTGAAGCTCATAAACGGCAAACCCGAGAAAAAGAAGTCAGTCAAGAACTGGTAGTGAAAATATAGACCAAATCCTGACAATTCGCCAGGTTTTAGGGTATAGAACAACCTCGTTGTCCTGAACTAGTAATGCAACTTGTGTCGTGATCTACGTGGATTATGACTGACTGAGTCGAAGATGCAAACATATCAAAAAGTGCCTCAAATGTTTACCGGCCCAAGCTGTCACACAATGAAAAGAAAAAAGTCCAGAACGAAATTTATGATGATATTGAAATACTGTCTTCAGGACTTGAAGAAAATAAATATGCCACTGACAAAGAACTGAAGTCGTACTACTCAAAATATTTAACTAATGACCACACTTAACCCAACACACCCCGGTCGGCAAACTTGCACGACTGAAGTCAACAATTAGTGACTTCGTAAACCAATCCCATGTTTTTGTCTGGTTATTCTTGAATAATATGTAATAAGGTAGAACGCTGTATCATATAGTAGTGACATAAATTATGGGGGATGTATAAATAAACTAATAATAAAATCATTTTATTAATTTGCAACAACATTGAATATCATTAGTATTCGTTCACAACTTACTACTTTGACCTATGTCTACAATATTACTCCAGGAAAGTTGTATATTCTTCACACAGTTCTCGCCACCATATTTCAAAAAGCTATTTGTTGCTGTCATACTGAAACCATTGCAGTCAGATAATCCGGGAAACAGCCATACTGGTGCAGAAGAAGCTATAGCACTGTAAGTAGAGTAACAAAAAATAAACGGATTATTGTAAATGTAACTTACAATAAAGATACTTTGGTTATGATTGTTAGATAAACAGAAGTGAGTCAGTTTCAAGTACTCACACCAACATAATGAAAGCAGAAAACCAACAAGATGAACTCTTAAAAATATCATTAAACAGAGTAAAAATCTACAGAATGACATGCTAATGATTTGAGAAAAGGTCGAAAAGTGTAGACGGATTCGCAGCACAAGGATAGATTTTGAGATTCATTACACGAGGCTTTGAAATGATAATTTCCTATATCTGGTGGTCCCTGTCCATGAAAACAACCCAACAGTTATACCATCATGTCCACTTTTTACTTTTCTAATTTACACTTACTCCAGTTAACATAACATTCTGGGATCTATGATCCATTAGTATGCGTAACAGAATCTAGCAATTTCAATTAATGTATTTTGATGAATTCATTGGCCGACTGACTATCCGTGCTTAAAACGAAGCGTAACCTTTGTTTGGCTGTCTCCTTGCCTCCATACAAAAATCTCGAACTAACTATTTCCAAAAGTTAGTTGTGTACTAGCTGTGTGGATTACCTAGCACTAAAAAAAGACCATGACGAAAAACTTGCAACAGTTCAAGTAGAAAATGTGAATTTCTAAACAATACAAGCTTACGATATTTGTACACATACAGCAATGAAGGTTTAACAAATCCTAAGATAATAAATACCAACTGTCACACTAGAGTCATCCATTTGATCTCATCACGACAAACGGAGTTAGGAAGGCTAATTAGGTTGTTATTTGAAACTCGGCAGATTGTATCAATATTACTACAAGTCAATCTGCGTGAAGAAAATGGGGGAGAGGTGATAACATAGTTATTAATGCTTTGACCTACAAAAGAAGCATAAACATGCTATGAACAAAGACAGGATGAAACTACACAGTAAACTTATTAGGAATGTCGCCATGAAAACACCTTACACTATTTTCTCAGCAACGTCTAAAATTTATTGAGCATTTAATAGCAGTTGAATATTGTTTCACAACGATTTGTGATTTCTGAACATACAGATTTTTCGTGTACTTTGGATAGAACGTAAAGTTTTATTCATCCAAAGAATATGACTATAATTGTACTATCAATAAATCAACTGCTCTTATTGTTCAGTGAATGTAATAGATCAATAAAATCAGTTATGCAATCAACAATTACTAGATATCATATTATTGTTTTGCAGCAACAGCTTATCATAACTGCACCTATCACTTCAATGGTCAAATCTTAGTTATAAACTTACTTCTTAATCACAACAAGTATCACCAATGAGTCATATTTCTCAATGAATTTAAGCACTGAGAGCAAAAATGAATGTATTGGACTGCAAACAACTCTTTATAATAAGTGAAAAACAATCTATCAAAATACACCTTTAACTACCCGGCAATTTGATTAGGGTACTTTTGTCTGATCCAAGCAGAGAGCATACCGCCATAGGATCCTCCGAAAGCGATTACAGGTGATGAAGCAAAGCATGAATAATTAGCTTTTAGTTGATTAATTAGAAGTACATAATCAGCCAACGCTTGTTCTGCAGTTAGGTAACCAAAGTGCTGACGGTCCTTTGGAATTAAAAAAAAACATGGTTCTGATATCAACAAATTCCAAGCAAAGTATTGAGAAACTAGTTATTCTCGATATATTAAGGGTGTACAGCAAGACATAAGTAAAATCAAGAAGTAAACTGAAGGAATGAAATGTTATAAACAGCTTAGTTTCTAGTAAAAATTGTTTAGCTAGATAGGAACCATTTATGTCACAAATCCATACAGAATTTTAATGTTTAAATACCCCATGAAGGCACAGAAAGCAAAAACTTGAGAGTAGATCAAGAAGACTGTTTACTAGTTTTTGTCAGCCTAAGTCAGCATCCAGACGTTGTTAATTAGGAAAGTCTAAGGCGCAGTGGGTAAATATACAATATTTTAAAAGTAGCTGAAGAGCCTGCAGCTGTAAGTTCTTAAGCCCATAAAACTAATTTACCGTTAAGATATCATGGTAAGTATTCTGAAAAACTGTCAAGATACCACTGAAAAACAACTTTTTGCACAATGATCAAATTTTAAAAACACAACTAAATGCAACCATAAGTAAGAGGGTTCTCTAGGAAAATGGCCATGAACAAAGAGTACTATGCGAGATAACAAATAACACACTATTAAAACTCACTTTGAAAGAATTATTCCCGAATGGGAGAGAGGTTCCGTAATACCGGTGTTCGGCAAAAACAACAGAAGCATTAAGTTCTTGAGAAAGCTTCCAGATAAACCCCTAAATTGTAAAAATTATAGAAGTTAGAGTCATCAAAATTATAGTGCTCAAGCAATTACTGAGTTCTCTGCAAATATTTCTATGGCACCTTCATTTCCTGTGTAAAAAAATATCGGGCCACCCGGAGTGAACGATTCGTTGTTAATTAGATACTTGATAAAGAACTTGTCATCATTTACGAAAGAAAAGTGATCAACCTAAATTATTGAGAATTTTATACTGCTTGTGTGAATAAGTACCCTGGTCCAAAAGTATCTTGTTTCATATGTGAACTCCGGATTCTTGATGGTTGACCACGGAAAGTGTCTAGTTACGAAACCGAACGACAAAGGTAATAAACAATTAAGAATCAAAGCCGGTATCATATTTCAACCTTGTGGAGGTTCGCGTCTATCCAGAATATACTTTGTATACTAGGGTAGCATACAGTAGCGTAAGGAAGACTAGTAAAGAGAAAAAAGAAAAGGTGAATCGACGATCCAGGAAGCGCACACAAAGCACGTATAGTTAATGACAGTATCAATCTACAACAATCAGAACCAACACCAGACTCAGACTAAGACAATCTCGGAATGGGAATGAGAAGCATATGGCCTAACCCGCTAAAACCTTACATATCACAAACCGCGCTAGAACACAATGAGAGGATAGTCAGCGCATTTCATTCCCTTTCAGTTTTCAATCCTTCTCAGTCATAAACGACAAACACGTTTTAGGATCTGAATCTTAAGTATCATAAGCTGTTAGCATATATAGGAAGTTCAGGACCTCATAGTGACATTTAAACACTCTAAAATGACACAACATCGTTTTGTTAGAGATTTCATTAACTGTTTGTTTCATTCGGTCTGTATCCGATCAGTTATAGAGCAGGATTGGTAAAAAAAGAGTATAATTCCTGTTTTGTTCTTTCCGTGGACCAAAGGATTGGACAATTCGCGTTATTCATAGAATTAAACGACGGGTAAGACTTAGAGAAATTTTGGCTGCAATTAAACGCAACTCAATTTCGTAAATGTGCCCTTCAGCTTAGCAACCAATCAGAATGAGGCGGGAATTATTGCATGCGCCATCTTTGTAAGCAATGGCGGTCGGCTTTCTTCGTTCTGTGCTTCTTTCGGTTATTTCTTTTGTGTAGCTATGTAATTTAATGTCTCAGTGTGCTAAAATGCCGCAGTTAGTGTAACGTTCTATATGTTGGTGTGAAGTTTATTTCGAATCAGCGATGTTTTCTGGGTTTTTGCTGCTTCTGCTCAAGTTGATCCAATTCTGATTTGATAGCTGTCTGACTCATCAATGTCTCACCAACACTAAGGTGAATAATATGAGTATGTTTTACTACTAGACATTACATATCCCGGTTATCAGTTCTATAACTTACTAAATCAAAACTGAGAAGAAATTTGCTAGGATTTTTGAGTCACGCCATACATGTAAGCAAATCATTGATGTGTCCCGTAAGAAGTGTCGAGCGAATTAAAAATTAAATGAGGTAATCTGGAAATATATTTACTTAAACCATGTTCACAAGTTGAATTCCGAGGAATAAGAGAATTTCCACATTTAATTACAAGGGGTCTCCAGTCGCTCGAAATCGAAAACAGCATCTCCCACCAAACAGATGGTTCGTACTCGCAAAACTCAGCTGATTATTCCCTCATAAACTTAAAGCCATGAAAGTTGTGTTTATTCACTAGCTTTCGCTATGTGTCATTGATAGGTAATCGTTCCACATGGCTCCGACTAAAGACGAACGTAACTAAACGATATGTAGAGTTATGGTCTACTTCGTTATTGGAACTACTATAATGATAGACCTTATCCTAAAATTGTAGACTTATCATGATATGATTACCTAATCTATAAGATCTTACGTGGAAGTTACATCATCTATTCTGATTCGATTCGTAACAATCCGCGATAAAACGTTTGAAGTTAGTAAAGAACACATTTGGGTTAGGGATAGAATAATATATTTTATGTGAGTAGAGAATAGTTATACAGAATGACTACGTCTACAAGGCTAAGCCATGCCATCTGACTGAATGCATATTCCCGCGTTCACTACTGTTGGCTCTCGCTCCATATCAAATGCTGAATATCTTATTTCTCAGTTATCTTATGTTCAGCTTTGAGTATTGCGTGGTTAGGACCAATACCACTACATATAAACCTCTCAACAAATAGACATTACCTGATGAGCTACTGTACAGCAAGATGAAAATTGCAACCACGATGACACGTATATTTAAATTTTATATTATATTTGTGATTGAGAGAGACGTTCCTAAGAAAGACATCACAACAAATCTTAGAGTGAGTTTGTCAGGATGCATGTCACTCTGATAAATGCAAAGGTTTATAAGTAGTGCCAACAGACTGGAAAGGGGAATATTCCATCAAGATAAATTAAAAAAGAGATTTTAATAAGTGTGAGAAATACAGAGACATCACACAGCTATCAGTACCACAAAAATTTTAAAAGTGTGACAAGCCCAAGTGGAACCAACAGGCTGACCTTTGTGAGGATCACTGCTGAACAATCGCTTGAATGGAACCCATGTTGTTGTATAACCTCATTAATTACAGAAATGCACCCGACAGCTATGACAGGAGGACCTTAGTGGGTCTCTTCGACGCTATGGAGCACCCAAGGCAGTCGACACTGTTATACGAGACTCACAGGAGGCAAAGGTATTCAAAGTCATGTATTTGGGTTACTCACAAAAGTGTTCCAGGTGAAGACTGTTAACGTATAAGACTTCCTACTCTCACATTCTCTCATTTTTCTCCTTGTGTTCTGGACATTGAAGACCTTCATACCTCAGAAATACAAGATAGATAAACGTTTGAGACATGGCTGGGAAGTCTGGACTTCGCCAGTGACCCAGCCGTTCTGTCCCATACGCAGGAATAAATGCAGATAAAGACTCACAGTGAAGCAACAGCTTCCATAGCACTAAGCCTCTACAGTTGCAGGGAAAATGGAAGGACTTGAAATACGGTAAAACGGACAATAATAAATTCACGCTTGATGGGAAGCTTCGGAAAAGACACAAGTCTTTAGATACTTGACATTAATGATAAACAAAGAGGATTTAAGGTACATATGGAAGCACGGACTCGCATGTGAAGTTACTATTCCTACCGTTCTAGAATATCTGGAACTCGAAAAACTGTCACACAACACCGAAATCAAAACTTTTGTTCGAAACGTTGGACACTCATGTCTAACGAAGCTGAAGTCAAAACTAACATCGAGAAAGTGAATCTGTTCTTAAAAAGCTACCCATTGAAGATACTGCAGATCAAGAGAGTTATGGACTACTTCGTTATCAGTACTGCTCTAATAATGGAGTTAATCCTAATATTGTAGATTTGTCAAGTTGTAACTGTCTAATCTATAAGTTCTTACATGAAAGTCCTATCATTGTCTATACTGACTGGTCGTATAGTAACAATTACCAATATATGACATAGAACACATTCAGGTTGGAGATAGAAAAATATGTTGAATATGAGTAAAAGTAAATTGTACAGAGCGACCACTTCTGAGAGGCTGAGCTATGCCACCCGATCGCATCCAGTTCGACTCATTCTTCCCGCCCCGATCGTTGGGTTTTTCTCGGCGTTAAATGTTAAACATATTTTTTCCAAGTTGTCTCGTGCTCAGCTTTGAGGATTGTGTGGTTAGGGCTCAATGGCATTACAGATCTACTGACTAGAGACGAACAAGAATAATCTATTGTAGCAGAGAATAAACCAACTGGCAGTTGATTCGGGAATTAAGGAGAGACTCTGAAAATAGATAGGGTACATCTCGCGAAACCTTTTAAACTCCATCGTAAGGTGAGAACAACCTCGGAATCCTTAAGGCAAAAGGAAACTATTCAGACCAAGCAATCGAAAGGTGACATTCAAAAGAAGAGAGTGGTTCAACGTGCAGCCAATACGTTTCAAAAAGAGTTCATTATTCGGCTATACTTACACCACAATTTGCTCCGTATGATCACGGATAAGTGAAAGACAAACTTGTGCTAGTTGGGATTATATAAATGCGTAAAACTTTTTCGCCAACATTTCAGCAGCTAATAATCATTTGAGATGTGACCGGGCCTTGTAAACATTGTGCTGGCAAGGTCTAATTATCTGTCATCCGGTTCATGTCTGATGGCGACTTGTATGTGGTATGTGTTGTTTTCATGTGACAGATAATCAGAAGACGGACTCTGAGTTTCCTATTTACAGTGTAATACTGCCAACTTTTCGTGACAGGACATTCATATGGTCTGTGAATTCGTTGATGAGGTGGCTGACTAAACTGCCTTCTTACGTTCATGTTTGCATCATATAGACATGACTGGATAAATGAGGATGAAGATGCCACAAGTATTTGGAGTTTGACAACAATTCAACCAGAAACACATTCTATAATTGAATCGTGCCTACCCAGTGAAACCAACAGTCAGAAACGTGGAGGTTAGAAGAATTATTTGATAGGTTATCAAAGCGTCGAGTAGTGACTGGCTAGCGGTTGCAGGATGATCATAGTAAAGATTTAACCGGTTTGTAATTTGTCATCAACAAAATTTGAATTTTCTGTCGCTATCCAGTATCCACTCATTGAAAAAGCCTAATTTTCATACTCTTAATAAGATATCGAGTGGTTACGTTTATGCAGTGTTCTAGGTAAGGTCCGTCGTTAGCAAATTAGAAATTTCTCTGCAGATTTGTCAGATGATTGTCTCACATAAACTAGGAATTGAGACCTGTGTAAAAAAACCTTAGACAAACCATTCACTTATGAGCACTTGTGTTGTTTCTAGGCTTGGGAGTTAATTCTAGGAAGAGTGTGCTCATGCACATCGGACACGGTAGTAGTTACCATTATACTATTGATAGTACATCGCTTCCACGCGTTCAAGAATATAAAGACTCAGGAGTAATAATAAGTCATGACTTGAAAACAACTACGCATTGCAACTCAGATGTTGTCAAAGGTTTTCGTGCGTCATGGTCACTTCGCTAAGCAGTCAAATGCTTTCACGTGGAAATGTTTCAAAGTATATATCCCATCTATGTAAGACCACATTTAGAGTACAGTATCCAAGCAACTAGCCCATGTCTGATAAAGGATATTAACTCAAATGAGAGTGTTCAGAGTGTGGGAACAAAACTAGTGAAGGGTCTTTTTAAACTTCCCAACGATGAGCGTTTAGAACGCCGAAAAACCTTTTCTCCCATGTCATATCGTAGGGCGCGAGGTGACCCTATACAGGCATTTCGTATCTTTAATTATGATTTGAGTGTTAATATATCTTGTCTTTTCTCTCTTTCAGCACTAGTAGTCTTTGGGGTCATAGCAAGAAGGTTCACAAAGCGCAATCTAATAAGCTTAAAGTGGGGTCTTGGTTTTCTCATCGAGAAATCAATGACCGTGAAGATGGCACAGGAATCCAGTGTTTGACAACGCTTGTACCAATAACACCTTCTAATATAACTCGTAATCACCAAGAAAAATCAAAAGACAGAATCGAGGAGATCAGAAGTTGTATTTGACGATTGCCAATCTATCGGAATTGTCTGATCAAGTCTGGCTAGCGATTGCAGTAGATGTTGAGCACGGCGTTCCCACACGTGATCTGGTGCGGATGCACGACCGAGCACCTTCAGCTAGGTGAGTCCATTAAAACTAATCTTGTCAGCATCCAATGTCGAAAACTTACAGAGCTATTTATTTTGGGGATTTATTTACCGCTACAACAGGAACGCCATTCTCGAACAAGTGGTATCAGCTATCGATCATGTTGCAATGTGGCCACCAGTCTAGGTGACTCAACACTGCGGGCACTATGTATTGAGATTTAGATGGTGGTTGGAGGTAGTCAACAGGAAACCCTGGACCCGGGTTTCGTGCTACTTGGCACTCGTCAGCAAGGTGTACCTGTAATCTTGAGGGAACTGGTGCTCCCTGGCGGATTCGATCTCGTGTCACCCAGCTTCACAGTCAGAGACGTTACCACTGAGCTATCCGAGCCGTGACTAA